TCGCAAACACAAGGTTCAGGATTATACCACAGTATTTAAAAGTAGATCGAGCTATATTACCGTTTAGGATACAGACCCATTTGATAGACAGTAGAGGTATATTAATAGATATATATAATTAATCATTTGCCATTGTTTGAGTAAGGAATTTTTAAAGTTTTAAATGATGCTGTTCCTTGTTGCATTATTGTAAAAGAAAATGATATCAAAAGAAGAAATAGCGATTACGACATCCTGAAATTTTGGTTTGATAAATAACACTCATATGCCGTTAAGAAATTATGTCTAGAGAAACTAAGGATATTAATCATTATCGATTCATCGATTGCTTGCCTTTTAACCTTTAGATTTGTGTCAGATTTTTAAAACCTTGATTGCCGCTAACGAGGTTCCATAATCTTAGATTATAAAAAATGGACAATTTGTTTTTGTTAGCCGCCATGAATTTCCCAGTTGCTGCATTACCAAGTACCATAACACTAATTGTTTCGGTTTGTTTCGTTGTTTGTGCCGTGTTCCCACCATTCTAGCCACGTCGGCACATGTAATTAAATGAAGGTTTCATAGCTGTAATAAGTGGTATGTTAATGCTTCGTAAGGCAGGTTGACGGGGGACATCAACGTTTCGTTTCGTCGAAGTCTCGTGACGAAGGGCCTGTCGTCCTCAATTCATTCTCCTCCCATTGTTTCCCGCGTCCTCGCGGCTTAATTGGGATTTCAACTCTCGTATAAAATTTACAGCTTCAGATACTGTTGTTAATTATTGTGAAGGGTTTTCAAGTTTTATGTAAGTAAAATAATACAGTAATTCATTTGTCTGTAAGTCTATATTGTTAACGTCCATCTTTATGTTTCTGTTTTGTATTAAAAGCATATAAATATCTTGTAGTCCCTGATCGTAACGATTTCTCGTAGTGTGTATGGCTAGCATAACAGACCGAGGGCGACCACTTCTTGACCTGTCATCTACATTAGAGTCTTCATTGTATCGTTTGATGGTACGACAAACGAATCTTTTGGTTATATTAAAAATTTTCAGTATGTCAAAAATTTGAATGGGCGCGTAACCGCAACGATGCATCGCAATAACTGCAACACGGTCTTCTTTAAGCGTCCACTCCATATTTAAAAATGAGTAAAATTCTAAAAAGTGTACATTTTTATTTTCATGAACAATTAAAAATTCGAAATTCGAATTCAGTAAACTTTTTTGCATTCTAAAAGAAAAGTTTTTACTGTGTGACAATACTTATGACCTGACTGTGTATATTTAATTTTGTATCTATCGTTTGTGGGTACTCGATTCTGTATGTTTCTGGATTATTCTTGTAAAATATAGTAATTCTTTTAAATTATTTACTTTTGCATTGTAGGTACCTACATATTATTAGAAAATGGCTATTCCATACGAATAAAAAAAAATGATTTACAGACCAGAGTATGAACAATCCTTCACAAAATCATGTTCGTAGAAAATATGGATGCATAGTGAAGTGACCTTAGCGACTAGGGCTACGCCGTAACCAGTGCTGCCAACCCGAATTTTAGAAAATTAGTAGATTATGTGCCAAATGTTGGTAGAAGTTGGTAGAATGTAAAATGCAAAATTGGTAGATCTACCACCTCAATTTAGAAGATTTTTTAAGATTAAAAATGCATGCAATGCAATGCAGAGCACACTTCAGATCACACCTACACGATTTGCAATAAAAATATTCGTCACCCTTAGTAATTTCTTAAAGCCAACCTCCAAATTCCTTGTCTTTCTCCCATAATTTCGAATATTTTTGGTCATAGTGCCTTTTTCTAGGTTTTCGTGGCGAAGTTCCTAACCTAGAACTATGTGCATCGCTTTCGCTGCTGTCAGAATCCATTATATAAATAAATGCACGCAACATAGAACAAACAGCAATCAGCACCGTTAATACGCAGTTAATTAGTTTTTACAATAAAATAGGAGCAAAGATTCAACATTAATTCCGCAACAAAGCAACCGGGAATAGGCCATAGTAGGAATAGTAAAATATGGGCGCGAAATGGTGCGAACGCCGAATTCATGGCGAACTGTTGCTTTTTTTTTTGTGGTTTATGGCCTGGACTCTATGTATGCTTGACGCATCGTTGCATGGCTCACGCAATACATCGCAACGTCGCTCGTCGATATAAAAATAATTCAAAGAGGTGATATGTCAAACTAATTAAAAAATAGGTAGTTTTTAGGTCTAGGGTGGTAGATAGGTAGACTGAAGTGAAAATTGGTAGATCTACCAAAAAGTTGGTAGATATGGCAGCACTGGCCGTAACTGAACCCATCAGCACGCGCGGTCGTCGCAATGGTGGATTGATGTGTGCTGAATACGAGCACATACTACAGAATATGGGACTAAGATAAAGCATATAGGACCATACTAATTAAAGAATGAATATTATCTTTGATACAGATTTGTTCACATAATTATAATTAAATACGTAAGTAATTTTTCATTGTATAGTGGCGGCGATTGGCCTTCCTACATAATAAAAATAGTCTGGTTGTCAGTTAATTCAATGAGCGTGTTATTTTTGAGTGGCATATTATCGCTAGCAAGGTGCGAAAGGGTTCGCGTGCCCGGTAATTATAGGCAGCTGTCTACTTAAACCTCCCCCAAACGTTGCATGCGATTGTAAAAAAGAATTTCACCGCATACTACGTACTCTATACCGCCAACACCCCGCGCAATGGTCAAAGCCGCAGGCTGCGCGCCTGAATAAACGAGTTGGTAAACAAAAATCTTTTTTGCGGTCGCGGTTTACCTTTACCGTGTGTACCAGACCGTGAACAATCGCCGTGAATTATCATGTGGAGCGTTTATGAAAGAGCCTGTTTGTAAAACGATCGCGGTCTATCATGGCTGCGTTTCATAGCTAAGTTGATGTATACGCGACGCACCGCCAGTCACTGAAAATCGTTTACATACAACATTGTCTCTCTTTTCCTAGTTTTCGGTGCTGTATTAATTTCTTGTTTTAACACTAATATTTTATCACCTTATCTAATGAGAAATGCACATACCACTCGCACAACTACAACATAAAGCGCAAGATAAACTTACGGCCTTGTGAGTGTTGAGTAGCCGAAATAGCAATTTGAATACGAAATTATGGATAAAATTGTGTTATTCATTGAAATGAGTTCCGCCGGTACCAGTGTGAATGCACGCAGTGTTGCGTAAAAAATGTTTTTTTGTCTTATTTACATATTCGGCGTACAAGTCATTTAGTTTGTCTAGTAACAGTTATGTTACTACGAGTCTATAAAAATTTTAATCTATTTTTATTATAATAAGAAAATCAACCTTCAGTGAGTGTGCCAGCTCATGTGTTTTTGCTCCGAAAGGCAATTGAGATGCAACGACGTGTACTAATAGGGTAGGGTTTAGAAATTAAATATCGATTGACCGCGGGGCGCAGTCAGCTCACTCGCGTGATTAGTTCGCACTCAGCACCGCTCGCACCGCTCGCTCGATATACGCTCAACTACATTTTGCATCGCTCGCTTTTCAACAAATACACTCCCAGTTACACGAATCATTGATCTCTCGCATCGCTTGCCTTCATAATCACTGAACACTTTATTATTGATTTATTAAAGCTTTGGTGCTATGTAGACTCGCCAACTATTTCTTTATGGAAAATTTTAAATGATCGTCAAAAAAATATGCAACCAACGATGCAAGTGAAACTTTTAAAAATGTTTCATGAAAAAGTCCTTCCTCTGCTGGGATTTGAACCCGGGCCGTCCGCGTAGGAGGTCAACTTTCTTCCACTGAACCATCGATGTTTGTTGATAAGATCTGAATTTTAAATAACAATAAAAAATGTAATGCGACATGCAAAAGATTATTAACTATTTGTGGCGATGTAATAAAAGTTCCATTTTACTAATAAATGATCACCTAAAAGTACAATTATTAATCTAAAGGTTCCGCCAAGTACTTGCCTTGATGCTTTGGATAGGTTACAGCGACGCGCGATCCGCATTATAGGCGATGAGGAGGTGACTAAACACCTCTTCAATAGGGGTGATGACGGGGTACAGTAAACGAAATTCTATTTAGTCCGTCAGTTAGATGATCAAAAAATAATGGACACGTATTTTTTCTTTGGGCAATCAACCAAAAAATGACAAAGTTTTCCTTCAGAGGACCTCGCGCGTTGGCCTACGTTGTCACCTCTAACTGTGGCCACAATGCCAACGTGTATTATCGTGTATGTATTATTAGTTGAATCGCATTATAAGCTGGTTGGTTACTAATATATTTGGCTGCGAAGACGTGTAATTCAGTTCTCTAATACTTAGTTGCATAGCATAACTGTGCTTTGTTGACTAAGATTGAGATTGAGATTTTATTTATAGTATCTCTTAACTCTCCCTTCCTTCTTTCAAAAGTTGCCAACTTTTAACAGCGTGATTTACTGATACTGTTGTGATTAATTGATAAAAAGTAATTGTAACGAAAATATTATAAAAAAAATAAACATCTCGTTCCACGGACTAGGCTGGCTGTAATAGAATCAACTCAGCACCCGCCACTATCTAGGCTAGGCGAAAGTCACAGCACTGACCATTATGCTACTTGGACCTCACAGATACGTCGAATTTATAGCGCTATGTTAGGAGCAGGTTATACTTAAAACAGTAAAGTTCATCATAATCAAACGAAACATAAGTATTAAAAGCTAAATATAAATTCTATTGAACGTTGCCATAAACTTATTAGACGGGTATAAGACATCAAAAAAATATTTTGCGCTCAAATCATGAAAAGAGCGAAACACCATTTATCACAAAAAAATAAAATTACTGCCTAAAAATTGGTTATAATTAATGGTCTGAAATTTATTTATCTGTTATACCCTCATCCTTCTTATCTGATCAAAATCGGTTTGATTACTTGTCAACTTTTAATTACAGCTAGCTTACCTGATAAATAATGTACGTTTGTATTTTTTGTTTACAGTCCGAGTGGCACGGCGTTGAGCACCCTCCCACAGTTGCGGGACTACCTTCAGACGGCTGGCACCTGTAAATGTGGGCTGCCCTGCCCTCTGAGACCTGAGACTGCATTCAATTTCGATCCCAAGGTAAATAGGCATCCACTCTTTGAAGTTTAGATGGATAAAGTGCTTGTTGGTAACAACCACTGTTGGTTTATAACATTGCTTTGTTATCGTTTGCTTTCTGACAGAGCTGATTTTGATCGGTTGAGTATAAAGCGCGATTGGTTTAATTTTCCATTATTCTTGACTCTTCGAATGCTTTACAGGCTCCATAGTCTTAAAGACTAAGGAAGAATTACATAAAATGAATGGCTTGCGTGAAAACAAATGAAAATGAACAAATTGCATTTTTACGAAACAACAATTCAGTATTACTTTTATGAGAAGTTATTCCATTCCAGTTTTTGCCCCCGAGAACAATTCGACCTACTCGAATCTACTCGGTATGTAGCTGTAGCTTCTCAAACCTTTTACGTGTCGTTGACGATCCTACCGAGCGCAAATGTGTCATTTATATAACCATTTATGAATTTTTATGGCACCATGCCAACAAGAAGAGCACCCATTCTGTAGATTATTAAACTTTTTCGCAGAATATGCTACATTTTGCAATGAAATGTTGGAAAACTTATTGTTGCTTCCCACGGAAATAAAAAATCATTATTAGAAATCTTATTCATATTCTAATTAATTATCCACGACAATTTTTTGGTTTTTGTCTATTTATCGAGAAATTCCTTTGTCTATTAAAACGACCTTTGCACTTAAACTGAAAGAAAAATAATATAAACATGATTTACATTGCGCCCTGATGGATTAAAGCCACTTAATAATAGCAATATAGCGATTTTTTTTTTTCTAGATAAGGCAAATAGCTTTTACGGAACACAAAGAGACTAAATATTTAGTTCAGTGTCAGATTCGCAGTCTTCTTATTATCTATTCAATAACTTATTGACGTTTTCCACAATTCCGCCAATGTCACGTGCGTAGGTAGCTTTAACATGAAAGGATATGACATAATACATTAAAAGTATAATTTGGAAATACTGGTTTCTATGCAGACCAAACAGATTTATCAGAACATTACATTTTAAAATAAAAAGACTTCTAATCTGTAATGTAATTTTGCCGCTTTTCCAAATTATCGTTTAATTTAAAACAAAATATACTTCTTTCCTTCGGAATTTATCTCAGCAAAAATATTTAACATCGGTTTAATTCAGACACCATTGGAAAGATAATTCCATTCAGTCAAGATGTTCAAAACATTTATCGCATTGCATCATACTTGTTCTACATTACAGCTAGTTTCGATATCCTCATTGTTATTCTTTTAATAAGATGAAAAAAAAAATTAATGTAACGTTTAGCTAGACTGTTTATCAAAAAAAAAAATATAGTATGAACGAGCAATGTTAGATCATGTGGAACTGTTAATAACAAAAGTCATAGTTATATAATCTGGACACATTTCAAAAACATTATTGTCCATGACAAAAAGATTCTCAGAACTTTTTGTTACCTGTATATTGCTCCAAATCTGCCTTATAGTCATAATAGAAATAAATAAATAAATATTTTCAACACTCACACCAATTAGCCTAGCCCCATACTAAGCACTATAAGGCTTGTGTTATTGGATACTAGGGTAACGGATAGAATACATATACTGTACATATATAAGTATATAGAAATAAATAAAGAAATAAAATAAAATAACTTCCTTACCTTTAAATACCTTCCGAAATCACAAAATATAGGATATAACACGTTTGTAAAACGAGCTTAGTTGAAACATTGGTTCACATTTTGTCACAACAAATGATATATTGCAAAATTATCGAGTGAAGGGCCGGTCCACGCAGGCGAGTCGAGACATTCATAATTAGAGCAATTACCATGTCAGTGTCACCTTGACACGTCTCGTGGACGATAAAATACATTTAATGGCGTCGGTCGACTCGAGTGTAATTTGAACTTCAGTATTTAAATCGATCTGGATTTATCATCGATAACGTGGGAGGATTTTTTAGAGACCAAGAGATAATTATTTGCTTTGTTCGGCCAATAAATTAATTTATATAACGATTACGTGTAAAGTTGAATGTTTTACCAAATTTCCTTCTTCATTGTTACCATAAAATAAACGTATTTTATACAATATCTTATTTAAATCATCTCAAAATAAAACGACATTATTAAATTCGGTGGTGAGCAAAAGTATTGTGCTTTATGACATTTACTACCCAGATTTTTTTTTTAATTGAGATACATGATTTTCTATAAACTATAATGTATGTGATAGAGTATGGTATTGTTAATATCTGAAACATAGTTTTTAATGAATCTTAGATACCGTTTTGTTCACTTCGTTTCAATAAAGGTGACCCCCATTGCAGCCGTGCGACGGACAAGTTAATTTTGTCAAAGCTTGCAGGCGACCTCCTCGCTTCGCCTTTGTGTGCACTTGAAATGTACAAATTGCACCACAACCTGAAGGGGGGAGGTCGCTGCACTCGCCTCCCATCCCCACACTCCCGCTCTCCCATCGATTCCTCTTTGTTCCGAGTATTCGTCTTGAGATGCACTCTGCGATATCTCGATTTCACATTCAGTCGGAACAGTGAATTGATCCACTCGTATCTTTCTTTACGTGCTGTCTGCGATGGATGAGATTTCATACAATATAACTACATAGTTCTTGGGCGTGACCCGTTGCATCGTTGTTGCGGTTCGCGTCGACTTCGATATGAAGTCTACTCGTCTCAGGAATGTTGGTCTAGGTTAACTTTTTAATTTCATGTTTATGTGGTGACTTGGGAGTCTTCTAAATACCAGTTCTGTCTCGACAATTTTTTTTCTTTGGGTTTTTATTTCGTATTGTAACATTTAATATTTTCAAATAATTTTGTATTTGATTTAAACATAATTTTAATTGTTTACAATACGTTTATTTCATAATTAGTACATAGATAATTTATTCGACTCGATCTGATATTAACTTTACCGATTACTATATAATTATTATTTCGCAGGCTATTAATTCCACTACATACTAATGCAGCTGTAAATCTTGTTATTATTGTTCTTCCTATTAGAATAAACATTTCTGTAGCTACTTTATTGTTCCAAGAAAGTAAGGAAGTTAAATGCCAGTCTCGACTTCAGAATGTTTGTTTGAATTCATTCTGTTTTATATAACCTCTATTATCGAGTATGTTTGCGAAGCGATTTTTTTATTGGTTTTATAGTGTTAGCAAATGGAAGTTCAATACTGAATAGTTTGTAAAATGTTTACTCTTGTATTATTGTTTATAATATTTGTTATGTGCCCGGTTAAACGTAGCGCTTACTTTTATACAGTTTTGAAGATATCTTTATTTTTAATATAAAAAAATAAAAATTCTTAAAGACTGTAATAGTATTTTTAGAGGACTAGTAATTATTCCATTGAAGTCTATTCAGAATTCAGAGTATATTATTTTAATATTATATTATTTAAATTTTTAGTGTGCCTACAAAAATAATATTTTATAACAACTTAAGTTATTGTTTGATTAACAAGCAAAAACATTTCACGGAAGAGATTACCCACATTACTGATATTCAGCAATGTGCACGCACTCACGCAGTCGCTTGGTTACCTACACTTTTGATGATGAGAGCTGAGCTTTTTGTAATACAATATCATTGAGAGAAGTAGTCTATTATCATGATCAATTAAACAGCAGTATCTAGATAGCCTTGATAATTCCGCTCTATCTACCTTTACCAAGTATCTCACAAAATAAACAAAATAAACGTTCTCGTAATAATCGATACAAATACGATCAAAACCAATTATTAGTGTTCGCTTATTTAAACAAGTTTTCCTTTCAAGGTTGTCGTTGGTGACTTGTAGACTTACATTTTGTAGGTAAGTATAGCTGGATGCTTTTTTGCTCGATACCAGTTTCAGATTGTATCCACGCTCGTTGGTCATGTTGTGGTAAAAAATGCAGGTGCTTAACACTTATCACGTACTGCGATGATGCAATAAATAAGACAAATGGAATGTATTTACATAGCAGAGTGTAGGTTTTAAATCTGCTTTGCCGGCTTGTTGTTCGTCAAGACATTTAAGAGGTAATGCGCCTAATTCTGGTATTTATGTTAACCTATTTTTTTCCTTCCTTATCATTCCTTTCATTATCATCTACTATAGCTTATTAAAAGGAGAGATTGCTTGACAATTAAGTTTTCAGTTTAAAGAATCATGCCAGAATTACACCGAATTGACCGATTTTGATTCTGCTTTATGATAACGGACAGCTGACGGTAATTAATAAAGTGAATATAATCGGCAATATTTTCAAATTCGAATGAAATATTTTTTTGCCAGAAGCTTTAAATATCGAAAGCAAAAACACAACTTTACTCCACCCTGCACAGCCAACGAGGGCAAGCTAAGGGTGAGATCCTGCTGACCCTATCGGATTCAACTCCGTTAAGGTGGAAATGAGGGTTCTGATCGGTTCTAGGGAGCACTTGGATTTGTCCGTGTTATCGCCTCCACGCTGTAACAGCTCGCCCACAAAAAGGTTATATTATAATATTATAATTACTTTTTAATATATTCACAGCTTTTAGTTCATATGCCGGGACACGGTCTGGTAATTGTGAGTAGTGTGTAGGCTAGGCTAGCTGGTATCCCTCGGGCGCTGACAGCGGGCCGATACCATCAAGGCCCCATACAGCTGCCGATTCAACGTTTATGGACCATTACCTGCTATTTACGAGCTGCCCGACACTACACATAAATCCGCGATATGCTCCTCATAATTGTCTCTTCGGCATTGAAAACACACTTATAATGTGGTTGTTTGCCTGCTCTAATGCCGATCTTATTTTTTTTAAGTTTAAAACAACAGGTATTTCATACTGACCATGACCAATGACCCATTGCTTTCTCCCTCTTAATATATTATCCTCCCTTTTATTTATTTAACAAATACCAGTTACTCTTAACCATTCGCAATGTTCTGCTATTTTATACTTGAATAAATATCCATGTTTTTGTAGCCTTTCTGCTGCTTGTACGG